TAAAGATCTATGCCACCAAATTGTGAGTTATTTTATGTCAAGAAATATCTTTCCCACCCTGGTTGGTGTGGTTCAGTAGGTTGAGCACTGACCTGTGAACCAAAGGGTCATGGGTTCGATTCCCAGTGAGGGCACATGCCTGGGTTGCGGGCCAGGTCCCCAGTTGTGGGCATGTGAGAGACAACCATACACTGATATTTCTCTCCATCTCTTTCTCCCTCCTTTCCCCCCTGTCTAAAAAATAAACATTAAAAAAGAGAGAAACATCTTTTCATTCTTCCCCTGGTCCTTCTTTCATGAAGTAATTACTGAGCACCTAAATGGGGGCCACCCCAGAAGTCTCCTGTCATGCCCAGCAGGGATTTACTGGGTGGTGATAGGATCCATTTTGTTGGGGAAAATCGTATCTAAAATAGTGTCTAGTCCTAGTGTCATTGAGGGATTTAGGAGAGGAACTGGGACCTCTAAGTTGGTGCCTTCTGAAGGTTAGGGTTCAGAACTTGAATCCTACTTCTGTTAGTGCAGGTCTAAAGACGGTGTTACAAGTTCCATTGCCTTTGCCTGCTCACGGCTGTCCTACGCGCAGAGTGGGAGGCAGAAGGACTGGGAGCGTATGCAGTGAACTGCAGGTGTCCTTTCATTCAGTTATCCGCCACTGGTTTTCGTGTTTTCTGGGTTGTTGTTAGGTGAGATATAAATGTAGAAACATGAGAGGAACTACAAAGAAAGGCCTCAAAAGTCATTTGTTGCTGGACCTTCAAATCAAGGTTCTGCCGAAACAAATGGGGACAGAAAGGCTGCCGTCAGTCCCACCAACGTGTGAGCCAAGGAAGATGTGAAATGACTTCCAGCCTTGACTTCCAACCCTGAGCCCCATGGCTGATCTGACCTCACCCCCCAGGGGTGCCCGAGGTGTGGGTCTGCCTCTGACACAGGCCGCTCTCCCGATGCCCAGATGCCCAATGCTCCTCGCTGCTCCTGTGTCCTCCGGAAGCTTCACAGGCTCCTTCCCTTCCTAGTCTTCATCTGTAAGTGCCGGGAGCCCGCGAGATTCTCCAAGTGCCCCCCCCCCCCTTGGCTGGCTCCCACTGCCTCCGCACCCTGGCAATTCCTGCATTGCCATCTGACTCCCTACTTGGAATCTCTATGTGTGTCTTGAGGCAACTGATTTTGACATGTCCAAAATTAAACTTAAGGTCTTTCCTAAAATCGCTTAGGAATGGTGCCACCACCTGCCGTCCCAGAAACCTGGTGGTCACACTCACGTCCAGTTTGCATGATCTATATCTCAGAAGCCTAAGGCCCATCTACTTGAGGGGAATGAGAAGAAAACTATTGCCTCCATTCCTGCCCTTGGCCAGACCACTTCCTTCCAGCCAGGGGCATCTTTACAAAGCACAAATCGTTTATCACTGCTTTTGAATAGCTTCCCATTCATAGTCCAAAATTGTTAACCTTAACCTTCAGGGCCTCCCATTTCATCCTGAGACACAGATCCCTTAGATTCTAAGGCTTAGAGCTTGTGCTCTGACCACAACAGCTTTCTGAGAGTTTCTTTAACCAGCCAAACCACTTTTTGCCCTGGGACCGCCTCTGATCATTGATTGCCCTTCTGTCTGGAACACTGCTGTCTGCCTGGATTTGGAGCTAGCCTCTCCTATTTAACCATTTGTGTGACTTTTAACTTGCATCACTTTCCTTATCTGTACAATGGAAGAATAATAGTCCTTCGTTAATTGGGCTACAATAAGGATTAAGTAAAATCAGGTGCCTAATCTTATCCTTAATGTGATGAAGGGCACTTTTATGTGTTTAATAAATGTTAGATATTAATATCGATATTTTCTTTTGTGTTTTTTCTTTTTAAAGATTTTATTTATTTTTAGAGAGGGGAAGGGAGGGAGAAAGAGAAGAAGAGAAATATCAATGTGGTTGCCTCTCCAATGCCCCCTACTGGAGGCCTGGCCTGAAACCCGGGCATGTGCTCTGACTGGGAATCAAACCTGTGACCTCTTGGTTCTCAGGCCAGTTCTCAATCCACTGAGCCCCACCAGCCAGGGCTTCTTTTGTGTTTCTGACAAGCATAGTGCCCTGTATATAACAGGTGGCTCAATAAATATTTATTAAATTAATAAATGAACAGTGCATGCAAGATGAGATCAGGTCTCCTCTTTATCATCATTCTTGTAGAACCCAAATGTCCCTGTGGAAGAGTGACAGCAGCCACCCAGGTACGTGACAACCTGGAGAGGGAAAGGCAAGTACACAAAGCAAGAGAACGAGTGGGAAGCACAGCCCGTGTGAAGACACAGAAGGAAGAGACGTCAGCGATGATGAGGCTCTACCTAGAGTTACCAGGCAGAGAGATGTCGGCCCAAAGAAGGAGTGGGGGGGCCAGGTGGGAATGCGTTCATTCAGTCAACAATAGGCATGGTGCTTAGAACTGGAGAGGCAAGCCCAGTGGGTTAGAGAGAATACACTATCCCGTGATGCCTTGAGGATCCCACACAGCCACCTTCTAGTCACAACTCGACCTTGTCACTTTCGTGGCCTCAACAGCTTCTCAACCTCACTGGTGATCGAAGGGCACCCTCGTTCCGTTAGGTCCAGTGCACAGACCGGGCGGATCTCTCAGAGAGCGATCGGGCCCTGTGCACCACATGCCTTAAAAAGGTCTGCAGTCTTCAACCTGGTGATTCCAGGTTTAGGAACCCATTCCATAGAGTCAGCAATGCAAAGATTTGTCAAGAAGGATATTCTTAGCACTTTTTAAAAAAAATAATAAATGTTAATTTGTTATAAACTTTATTATAAGAGAAAGTTTACTTACAAAGTTTATTTACAGAGGTAATAGAAGTGAGCCTGCTGGGCTGCGGAGGCTTAGGAAACAAGTTACAGGAAGAAAAAAACAAACAAACGCGGGGGTCGGGGTGTGTGGCGGGCGTCCCGGGAGTTTAGGAGAGGGAAAGGTAAAGGCCAAGCGCCTGGGGTAGGGGCAGGTGAGAAGAGGGGAAGGGAAGGGAAGGGCCCAGAGAACTGCCCTTAGCACTGTTTTTGAAAATGAAAACTGCTAACACGAATGTTCAGCAACAGCGTAAAATGAAGTACTGGTTGGCTAGTAAAACTTCAGTTTTTCGAAGAATGTTTGATATTCTTTCTACAAACCTAAAAATGCTCACAGTATACAGTTGACCCTTGAAAAAAAGTGAGGGGGCAGGTTGGGGCTCCAAATGCAGCGAAGTTGAAAATCCCAGAGCAAGTTCTGACCACTGTCAGCCCTTCGCGTCGGCCGATTCAACCAACTGCAGCGGGGAGACGGTACCTTACCTCGCAAGTGGGAGTCAGCGGCTGGGAACCTGCCGTTGGGAGTGTTTTCCACCCGCGGTTTGTTCAGACCGCGTATGGGAAACGCAGGGTAGGACGGAAAGAGCCCACTATATTTAATGGGGGGGGGGGCTCCTGTAAGTGGACCCGCACAGTTCAAACACTTGTTCTTCAAGGACCGACTGACTGTCAAGCTCAGCCAGAAAGAATGCAAACCGTCCCTACAGCAGGCGCGCACCCATGCAGAGGGTATGTGTTGCGTCCTCACTGAAGACTGGTACGGACCACAGGTTTCCAGGTATTAGTGGCTAGCTAGGCAGAGGGACATTATTACATAGGTTACATAGGAACCCCCCCCCCCAACAGGCCTTATTTGGGGTCTTTCAGGGCAGTCTTTATGCACGGAAGCTATCAGGCCATCCAGGGCGAGCCTGCCACTCTGTTGGGTCTCCTTCTCTGTCGAAGGAGGAGGTTGGACCACATCACCGCTAAGGCATCTATGAACAAATATGCAAAGTAGGCACAATCTCGGTGAACATTTACTATTGAACTGGGAGCAAAGCCACAACCAAGGCGGAAAAAGAAAAGCGCTGGAGGGGCGTAGGGTTATGGGACGGGGGTGGGGTGGGGTGGGGGGCAACCTGGCAGATTCTGAGGAATGTGGGGGTGTGATCGCCGGCAGATGCCTCGGAGTCGCCAGATGGCTGAGACACAGCCTCCCGGCTGCGACTCCCGGACCCAGCGGCTGCCTGGGTCCCGCCTCCCCCTGGTTTTCTGGTGTCGAGTGGGCATCGACCCCGGCTCTACTTCGAGTCCCTAAGACCGTCCTCCCCGCCAGCCCGGGAGGGGGTTGGGGCTCCCAGAAGAGGCGCGGCCCGCTCCCCGCGCAATGATCCCCTCGGGGACATTTCTGGGTGAGGGGACGCCGAAGGTCACCGCGGCGGAGACCTCCGAGGGACCGAGGGGCTGTTTGAAGCCTTTCAGGCCTCTCCAGAGCTCTAAATCGGAGGGCATTTAATTGGCCTTGTAATTTCCGATCGATTGCCGAATTCAACACATCGAAGGGCACTGGGGAGAGAGAGGGCGTGGACACGCCACAACCCTGTCCGCCTCGGGGAAGGCGGCGGTGCCCCGGCCCCTCCCCACCTCGCCCCGCCTGGCCCCGCAGCAGCTCCCCGGGAACCTGGGCGCTTGGGTTCCCCGCAGGCGATGGGACGGGGGCGGGGGGGGGGGGGGGGGCTGTTCTCGGAAGGGAAGCGAGGGATCGTCCAACCTGCTTCTCCATTGTGGAAACCCTGAGGGCGGGCAGAGGGGAGGGCGGGTTTGGAGAGGAGCAGAATCGAGATTGTTTAAATATCTTTTCTCTTTCTCAGCACCCAAGCACTTAAACATTCCCAATTTCTATCTAAATTACGTCTTATCGGTTTTCCTTTTTAAACAGGAACTTCTGTAAACTTCTCCCCCTACACTCACCATCTAGTGAACATTTTCTGTTGATGAAAACTATGTCCCATAACGTGACTTCAAACGTGTGCATTAAATCAAAGGCGTACTGTCATTTAAGTAGCTTCCAATTTTTCAATTTTGCCAACATCTGTGCTCAACGTGGGCATCGGTCAGTGTTTGCCTACACCCTGGATTGCTTTTCACTGGAATCCATTTCTAGGTGCGAACTAATGGGTCGGGACACAGGTACCCAAGGGAAAGGTTTAACTGGCACCAGATGTGCTGCCGTTAGCGACAGCGCAGTGGTAGCACCGTGGCAGAGACTTCAGCGGCAGCTACTGTTCCTTCTTTCTTCATTTACCCTCCAGCTTTCTCTCCGCACCCTCAACAGTGATTATCCAGAAGGTTCCTGGGTGGCCACAGGTTTCCCGGTAGGAAGGGCTGACTCGGCCAGGAGACTGGAGTGTGGGTGAGAGTTCTGGAGGGGAAGAGACACAGGCTGGGTCTAGATTCAGTTAAAAAACACTGGTCCCTCCCAGGTGATCCTGGTCCCGGCCCCGCCCCCCCCCCCCCCGTGCTTGGGCGTGGCCTGGGTGGTCGTGACAATGGCTGTGATGACAGGTGGCCCTCCCCTAAGCTGCTGGCCATGGGGGTAGGCAGTCTCCCTCTCCCCCCTTTTCTCCTTTCCTTCCCTAATCCCACGCCTTCGGACCTCCTCCCCTCGCCCCCACCCGAGGCTACCGGAGCCCGCACGCCCAGGTGAGTGGGCAGCCCAGCTGCTGCAAAGGCTGGTCTGGGGCTAGAGAGGGGGCGGGAGAGCGCGTTGCAGACTCGTGCATCTGCAGAGAGAACCGAGGCTCTTGCCCTCGTGCCTCGGGCTGGAGCTGCTGTTCCGGGCTGAGCCCTGGCCCAGCGCCCTAACCCTGGAGGCTGGGCCGGCTCTTCTCACTTCTCGGGGCGCCTAGGTTGCAGCTAAAGACCGGCTTTTTAAGGAAAGGGGCTCTCTACCTTCATACTAAATAGGGCGACCCGTTTCTTCAGGTGGTCTTTTTCTTTTTGCTGCAACCGTCCTGGACCTCAGAGATAGAGAGTCTCTGGGTGGGGCCAGGCTGAATTCAGCAAGGCATCCAAGCCCCGCAGGAGCCTTGCCCCCCCCCCCATCCTGCTCTTTCTGTTTCACCCGCTGGTCAGGGAGTGAACGGGTGAAGCCTTAAGCCCTAGATTGATGCAGACCCTTCACCTGGCATTTTGTGGTCTTTCCATTACTCACTTACTTGTCTTAAGTCTGGTTCTTGTATATATACTCTTCAACTTTCTGAGTACAACAGAGTATGTCTTATATTTCTATATTAGTTCACTGATAGATGAATATGCATATAATACATTTTTTAACATACCAACTATATGTTTTTAGTATGTAACAGGCCTACCTGTATACTACTGTTTGGGCAAGAGAGGAAACTGGGACTAAAACAGCAACATGGCAATAGACTGCCTCCTGTGCTCGTGGCCCTTTGAACCATTTTTTAAGGGAAATGTCCTCCAAATCATGTGGGGTGGGGAGACGTGTGGGTAGAGAACCTTGTCTACCTGGATAACTGTCTCACCTAGAGCTAAATTCCACACCCTTTAAGTCTCAGTGTGACTTTCACCCCTCTGGGAAGAAAACTCATCCTGACATTTCCCCACAAAATTAGAAACATGCATTCTCAGGAATGCCAGCATTAAATGGATTGATTGAAATGGATAATCCTGCCCTGGCTGGTGTGGCTCAGTGGACTGAGTGCCAGCCTGAGAACCAAAGGGTCACTGGTTCCGTTCCCAGTCAGGGCACATGCCTGGGTTGCAGGCCAGTTCCCCAAGTAGGGGGCACTTTAAGAGGCAACTACACATTGGTGTTTCTCTCCCTCTCTTTCTCCTTCCCTTCCCCTTCTCTAAAAATAAATAAAATCTTTAAAAAAATCTCACATGGATAATTCTCAAAAACATTAAAAAAGGAAAGAAAGAAATGGATAATCCCTCTCTGCTGGTGCAGGAAAGGTGCGTTGGGTGGTGAGCTAGCGTCAGCCAGGGGGCTGGGGACAAGCGGCAGTCAGGACACAGGAAGCTCTCTGGAAGGCAAACGTGGTAAAGGGAATTTTGGAGACATGGAAGGTCAGCATTTAAGAAAAGGGATGAAGTCCATTAGATCATCATCTAATGAGAAAGACCAACTCAAGATGTGGAAAGGGGGGAAAGAAAAAAGTCAGGGAGTTTGTAAAATCTAAAGGTTTATTATGCTGTTATTGTTATGTTTCTGGAAGAAGGTGTGGCAAGGACAAGTACCCTAGCACAAAAGCGTGAATCAGGAAAGAAGTGTCTATTTTATTTGCTTGGTTTGGAAAGGCCAGAGGAAACACAGCAGTTTGAACCCAAATGTACACAGCTGCTCCCTCATAAAAAGCACTACAAGTATACTAAAAGGCTCAAAAAGGTCAGGCAACGCTAAGGACAAGGGGATAAAAAAATCACAGTAGATGAGGTATCTTGAAAGCAGGCAGTCCAGTAATGGCTGGTTTAGCCAGCCTCAGAGAGCTGACTCCTGAGGCCGGGAGGGAACTTGAATGGAGACGACAGCCACCACAGACCCCGGGGAGGTTCAGCAAGTGAAACACCCTGTTCTTCCGCAAATGGGAGCGTGGGTGGGATGAAGTTGGGAGAACTGGGAGAAGGTTTCGTAAGGAGCAGTTAGACCGTCAGATCTCATCTCCAACCTCAGCGTGGGCAGGACACGCCACACTGAAGTCCACACCCTGAAGAAAGGCCCGTGACATTGAAAATGCCTCCAATATGCCAGACAGAGATCAACATGAGAAATGGGGGGGGGGGGGGGCATCAACCGGGAGGAAACAAGGACAATGTATGGAACAGGAGAAAAACTTTTTTTAAACCTCCAACCTTCAGAGATGCACTAGAAGCTCTTGCATTCCTGGAACAGAAACATGGGTCTCTAAATGGGAACTTAGAAGACAAGCACCTCTTGGAATTGAAAATTATGATACAAAAAAGTGGAGCAGTTGAAAGAGTAGACGAAATTGAGGAAATTACCTAGAAAGTAGAACAAAGAGACACGTAAGTGGAAAATGGCAGAGAAGAAAATTAAAAGTCCCATCCAGGAGACCCAGAATCCAAATACTAGAAATTAAAGTTATTTCCCTATCCCCCGATAACTTTACCTCATAAACACACTTTCCTAGAAAGCATCTGAAGGATGTTTCACTAAAGGAAAGGCAAAAACCAAGACAAAGAAAATCATAGGATCCAGGAAATGGGGCACGACCTGGAAGTTTGTATCCCAGAAGAGAATCACAGGATAATGGCCGCAGCGCAGGGCAAGAAAGCGACCCATCCAAACCTGAGCAGCATGAAGACCACCAGGGGGAACATCTCCAAAGAGATGGGGAGGGGAATGAGGAAGAAACCCATAGAAAACTAAGTAAGGACTCTTCCCAGGAGGCCTATGCTGCCACAGCCACATCTCTCATAATTCCTGAGAAGTTCTGCCACATTTTTCAAGTACTCAGCACCAATGTCAATGGGCAACGGAAGACAGCCTTTGCCGTCACTGCATCCGAGGGCGTGGGTGAAGACATGCTCAGTGGCACTGAGGAAAGCAGACACCAACCTCAGCAAGAGGGCAGGAGAGCTCACAGGGAACGCAGCGGAACGCGTGACCATCAGGGTGCAGAACCCACGTCAGCACAAGATTCCAGACTGGTTCTTGCACGAACAGAATGATGAGAAGGATGTAAAATGCAGCTTTGTCCTGGCCAATGGTCTGGACAATAAGCTTCATAAAGACCTGGAGCGGCTGAAGAAAACGAGGACCCACAGAGGGCTGCACCACTTCTGGGGTCTTGTTGGAGGCCTGCACGCCATGACCACAGCCCACCGGGGTCGCACTGGGGGTGTGTCCAAGAAGAAATAAATCTGTGGGCCTGGTCTGTTATTAAGTAGTTTATATACCTAAAAAGAAAAGAAAAATCCTAAGTAAGCAAGTGATTAATTCCAGAGATAAAAAGAAATGATACTTAAAAAAACAAGGGCACTGTAGCCAGTACACTATTTAGCTGAGCTGGGAATGATACTTACAGCCATAATAACAATGGCTCATACTGGTAAAACTGAAAGGACTGTACGATTACACAGGGGTTGGCAAAAGTAGATTTACGGTTGTTCACATGGAACAAGACAATAATTAATAAATAAAAAAACTCAAGACGACACTGCGTTTCTTGCACTCACGACTGTAAACCTAGGTCTGCCCTCTCCTGTATTGGGAGGGGAGGGGAGGGAGGGAGGGGAGGGGAGGGGGAGGGGAGGGAGGGGAGGGGAGGGGAGGGGAGGGAGGGAGGGGAGGGAGGGGAGGGGAGGATGTCCGTGGGCCCTGGAGGTGAGAGAGCCTCCTCTTCCAGCAGGGAGACAATGGGTATCAGTTAAATCTGGAAAGAAAAGAAATGCCGACAGGTAGGTGCGAAAGAGGACCCTGCGGGCAGCTGTTGTCATGGTTCCCTTGGGGAGACCAGGAATCGGCAGAGGGGAGGGCCAGAGCGAGGGCCTGTTACAAACCCAGCAGAGCTTCCGGGTTTTGAGTTTCAAAAGTTTTTATTTAGAAATGTTTGAAGCCTCACAACAAATTGCAAAAGTGCTAGAATTCCCACGTGTACCTATCCCATCCCATCCCCATTATGGCATCTTACATAACCAAAGTGTGACCAGAACCAAGCAACTGACACTGTTATAATGCTATTCACGCTACATAACTTCAAAGATCACTTTCAGGTACTATTTTGTTTTGAATAAACATTAAGAAGAAAGGTCTAGAGCATACTTTGCTCTAAAATATGTTGGTATAAAGTTATATAAACCATTCCCTTATCATTAAAAATTCTCCTTGGTATCTGGATTATGTCTTTTTTCTGTTCTTGTTATTTGTCTCCTTCGTTCCCATTCTCTTTGCCCCCTTCTTATTTTATATCAAGACTTGTTTATTCTTTTACTAGTCTTCTGTTTCATCGATCACTTCTAGTAGCTTTTTAGCTTCCTATGTAAATGATTTTTTGTTTTTATCTTTATTCATCACTGTTTTTGGGGGGTTTACTATGGGGTTCTTCTTCCTAGTGCCTTGAGTCAAAACCTTATTGGTTTTCCACCTCGTATCAGACAAAGTTCTAGCAGGAGACAGGGTTGTTTGAAGAGTTTAATAAAGGAACTACATGCAAAGGTGTGGGCACCTGTACCCTACCTGGGCCTGAAGGGGGAGAGACGCAGTGACCGCGGTGCAGGGGACACCTGATCTAATGCACCTCTGTCTGACATACACCAGCGCTGGGGATTCTGCAGGGTGGGGAGCTCTCTGATGCTGTCCACAGGGGCATTTTTTTCTGTGCCCACACAGCATGGAGAAGGGGGAGCGTGAACATGCAAAAACCAGCAGAAGATACTCAGCACATTTTCCCCTGATAGTCATTTAAGGGTGTGATGTTTCCTCTACTACTTTGGCCGTATTCTTAGTTTTTGACTAGTTTGCAATTTCCTCCTCAAACCAGTAATTTTTTGGAATAGTAGATAAAAATTTCAAGAAGAGTATTTTGGAAGGCTGTTCCTTTGGTTAATTTCTGATTTGATGAGAGAGAGAAAACAGTGAATTTGATAATGAGGTCTAACATTTCCATGAGCGTTTTTCAAGTTATGTTAATATAACTTGGGGTGTTTCTTTTTCCTGTTCCAATAGTTCTGCTCACACTTCACCAGGAGCTGTCATCCTCCAAGTGAGGAGCTGCGAGGGTCCCGGAGGCAGGGCAGTGTGCTGGGGGCCGATGCCACTCAGGAGGAGCTGGGAGCTCCTACACCCAGAATTCTAGAACAGCTAAAGTGGAAGGAGCAATGTGTGGTTTTTTATCAGCTCGCTTTTATGTGTTTGTTACTACGTTCAGCTTTGAATGTCACACTGGTTGGAATTGTTACAAGTGAAAAATTTTACATGAAAAATGCATACTCAGGTGCCCTTTTATAATTTTGTAAATGTATAATATACAATATGGACATCAAGTGAAATCTAGACAATAATAATTAAGTTACTTAAAAGTGTGCTTGTAAACAGAGTAAACGTTTTTATACATATATACTAGTTCAAGCTATAAATAGGGTGAAGTCATCTGTATGCTTCCAATTTAGTCCATGGGTATTTTTATTGTAATATTAAAGGAGCTCATAACTGACCTATTTCTGCTAGTCTCATTTCAATGCTCCAAAAGAATTGCCCTAACATACTCACCTGCCTTTCCACAAGAGAATCCTGGTAGTCTGGTTTTACAGTATGTCCTTGAATAACTTCCTATAATTTGCTGTGCATGTTCCCTCAAACTCCAAATTTCTAATTTTCTTTCCATTTTTAGAGGAAATATCCTTTTTTCTGGACATTTCTTTCTCTGTCTTTTAAAAAATTACAACCTCTATGTAGAAATATACTTACTCTTTAGTGTCACTGTGCAACTTAGTTTACTAAACAAGAAACTCCAAATTATTGAAAATATTTTTTCTAATAGAATTTCAGACGGAAAGTCACTGACCTATCATTCTAAGTAGTTTGGTTAAGGTCATCATTCAATCTTTTTTTGGCTAGGGCCCAAGTTTCGAGAGAACGTGCAATCTTGCCCATTTCTTCCTCATCATCTGCTACACATTTCTGGTGCTTTTTCCCTGCCGTGCCTCTGAGCAAACACTGGGCACTGACTGAACATATGCTCTAACTCATGCAAAGGGCTTCTTGCTAGAAATAGATTTGTTGAGTTTCAAAATGCCTCTTAGAATAACAATCCCCATGAAATTTCATCTTGGAAAAAGAGCAATATGTGTGCTTGACATCACCAGGAATGTCTGTATGCTGCATATGTACAATTTTTTTGTAGTCATTATATTGAACGTGCCTCATTTTGAGAGTGTGACCTTGAGCTGTCACTGCTTTAGAAAACGTGGACTGGTTAGAGCATCCATTAATGTCCTAGAACAAATGCTCTAGCAGAATCCTCAAGGGGGACAGGGATTTTACTGGTCTCTGGACACAGAAATCCATTTGTTGGAGCGAACACTGAGTGTGATGAGCTGTAAAATGAAGTTAAAGTCTGTGCCAGACCAAACTAGGTGAAAGACCGAGCAAGCGGATAAGATGAAGTTTGTATTTCCTTCAGAGGGAAAAATAACTGCATTTTTTCAGATACTGTCACAGGCGCTTTTGACAAGGCCCATGGAGAACTATAAAGAGGAGTGTAATCTAAGTAACAGCTCCAAATCAGCATCTAGGAGGCTCATTGTGGAACCTTTAATTTCAGATTGTACTCCATGCAGAGTAGCAGAAGAAATGCGGAGAACACCTTGTTGCTCCAAGTGTCCTGTAAGTGCCAAAGCTCTTAATATCCTGCTTGTGAGTGGTTGTGGTTGAGAATTTCAAAACAGAAGAATTGGAATTTTCTGTCTTCCATTTGGGGCACTGATTATTGAAGCTGGCAGTGTAAGGTTTTGATTTTCTATTTCCTAATAGGAGTTAATTTAGTTGAAGTTTGGGGGAATCTCTGGATGAGATTCTCTCTGAGTTACTAATAGTTTTTGTATTATTTCTCATGGAAAGTTTTCCCCCTGTTATTTACAGTTGCCCCGCTGTTTTTAAACACAACATATATTATATTAGACAGACTGCGTTTACATATTTCTTCTCACCCCTCCCCACCCCCACTCATAATTGTTTGAGTGAGCAAAGTATTGTAAGCAAAGTATTAGCCTTACCATACTGCCCAGGATGACCATATGGCTTGGAGACTTTTCAGTTGTTATATTTAAAATTCTACCTCTTTTGTACATATTGAGGAACTTACCTCCTATTTTCTGACTGGTGTGCTATAAAAATTAAAAGCATAGACGGTACAGAGAGATAAAATCACCTGCATGATTCTGAGCAGGGAACTCAGATGTTTCCTGTTGGTAATTTGAGGAGGATAGTTCCTGTCACACAGGTATTTTGGGTGAATTTTATAAGTACTTAGAACTTCCATAGGTGGAAACAATGTGCCTTCTTGCACAACCAAGTTTAAAGACAACAAAAGTTTTAGTTACAAAAAACTCAGCCCAAACCCAGAAAATTGAACTATATGGAAGTTCGACAACCATGAACCCTTCAGCCAAACCGGTAAGAGGGGAGAATCCAGCAGTGGAGCAGGGTCAGGCAGGAAAGATCCACCAGACCGACCCAGGTGCGCGACCCAGGTGCGCAGCTGTGAGCGGATCCCGGATGTGGAGTAGCGGGCGGACCCACTGAGGGCGCAAGGTGGCAGGCTGACCTCGGTCACACATTCTCGAGCAGATAAACCAGCAAAGGAACGAGCAGTGAGATAGACCGCGCAGGACCTGGCAGCAGGAAGCTGCAGAGGGGACCGTTATTGCCCCCCTTTGACCCCACCCCCACATACAGCGTCACAAACCAGCGACCTGTGTGGCCCCGCCCTGGTGAACACCTAAGGCTCTGCCCCTCATACGTAACAGGTGCAAACAGACCAAAACATTATGGCTCAAGCAGAAAAACAGCTCAAAGCCCCAGAGCCAATACTTCTAAGCAACGAAGAGATAGCCAACTTCTCAGATGCACAGTTCAAAACACTGGTTATCAGGATGCTTACAGAAATGGTTGATTTTAGTCACAAGTTAGAGGAACAAATGAAGGTTAAACTAATTGAAATGATGGGAAATGCACAGGAAACCAATAGTGATGGAATGGAAATTGGGACTCAAATCAAGAGAATGGACCAGAAGAAAGAAACAACCAACCAGAAAAGGATGAGGAAACAAGAATTCAAAAAAAAATTAGGAGAGTCTTGAGAACCTCCAGGGCATCTTTAAATGTTTCAACATCTGAATTATAGGGGTACTAGAAGGGGC